TCTGCCGAGCGACGCCTCCTTCAAAGGGCCAGACCGTGAAATATCTACTAATTTTTTACCTCGCACTGGAACGAAACGGGTTGATGAGCAAATTTGACCGTCAGCGCTCGGGCTCTCATGGTTCTCCTCCCGCTTCACGAGAATCAGGCCCGTCTTCACAAAGCAACGGCAGGTTCATAAGCAAGCCACACACCCAAATGAGCCCGATGATTATCTGCATACATTTCCATCGCTATTACAAGCGGCTCCAATCAGCGAGCGCGGCCGTCTTCAACTCAGAACATGCGCATGTCCCACAGGCATTAATTTCACCTACATATTAGTTCGGGGGTGGAAGCTTAGTGTGGATGGACGCAATTGATTCAGTGCATCTGAGGCGACGCCAAGGCGCACAGAATCCAGGAGGGACGGCGATCGGGGGGCCTGCAGATGCTCCCCTCAAAGGCGACTGTCACGTGCAATAAATCAAATCATTTCCCCGCCACCAGCGAGTCCTGGTTTTTCCTGATTCCCGAGCCACTTATGAGGAAGGGAACGTGCAAAAAATGGTGATTTGCACTCATCGATACTGTCCCCTCTCTGCTCCCGCTCCCCTGTCAGCTCATTAGTCGCCCATCTCGATATTGCTTCAAGGTGTGGATCCAAACTCTCATCTAATTATGCCTGAACACAGGCAAAACTGTGAATTAGATAAAGCAAAACTTTTGCATAATTAGTTGGAGAGAAAAGAAAATATATTCCTCCTTGAGTGTTAATCTCTCGCCCGGAGACAAGAACTCAAGTGGGCATGTCTGCAGTCACAGCAGGCCTTTCCAAAGGAAGGTGTTTCTTCACACACCTGATTGGGCGAAATTAATGTCAGTCATTTCACTTTTTCTTTCTTAAGTTTTTTGTTGTTGTTATTGTTGTTACATTAATGGGTCCAGGGCCGGCCCAAAGCATAAGCAAACTAAGCAGCTGCTTAGTGCCCCAGAGCCACTAAGGGGCCCCTCAGTGGAGCAGATTTTTTTTTTCACAATTTCTGTCATTATAATATCAAAAACACACAATTTCACCATGAGTTGATTTCTTTTTACAATAATATATATTTGATCATGTTTGTAGAAATCCTTAGTTTATGGATAAAAAGGAAAAAAAACTAACCGCCGGTAACGAGCTGCAGTGCAGAGCATTAAAATGTCCAAAGCTCCGGTCAGAAGTTAAGTAAGCAAAACAATGTCTTAAAAAAGGACTTATCCTTCATGGAGGGAGAAAAGAAAGATGAAGAATAGAAAATAGCCAAGATAAAGGTCTGTTTCAATGAGTCTTGGTCCTGTAATAAAATGTAAAAGATTTGGAAAGCTGCTCGTAGAAAATTAGCTTGATGGCGACTTTGACTGGTCCAGTTCAACAGCGAAACATTTCTGATGGGAAACACTCATTTCTCTGTCCCCCCGAGGCAACTGGACATGAGCCACACCCTGACCAAACCATCCACAGGTCGCATTCCCAAGTCAGCAATTGTGGGTAAAACTGTAAATCGTTGACCGATTTGCTGCAACACCAAGGGGCTGACACTTTTTTAAAAAATCTCTCGATGAACAATCTTCTCTGGAGAAACAAAATCACTGCCTTTTTTTAAATATATGTATATATCCCTGGAGAATTAAAGCTCTTGATAAATAATTTGGAAGGACAAACCTTTCCACAGAAAATATAGATGACAGTTAAAGAGGGAAGTGGAAAAAAAGAACGGTGGAATGAATATAGCTGCGCTGCAGTATTTCATCCCCCCTCCTTCACAACTAATAACTCATCTATCATCTCCAACCTATTAACAAGCAGCCTCAGTCCGGCTAATCCCATCAGGAAGAGGAGAGCCACTCGGCTGCTGGTAGCATAATTGTTACATATTGGCTTCCAGTCGGACGCTGGTTTTCCCTTCAGAAGCGCAGGCCTGTTATCTTTTGTCAGATGACATCGCCAATTTAGCTTTAAAGCGCGTCAATGCCAAAATAACAGCCTCTAAATGTATCCCCTGATACAAGCGGTTTGGTCTGCTGCATAAATTAGGAGATCTAATTTTTAAATGCAAGCGCTGAATACCAACATGACCCCACCTCGCATTTCATGTCAGCCGGCGCGGGTTCTTTCAGGTATAGAAACGCTGCGAAATTGCAGGCAGGCGCTCATTGTCGTGGTTTCACATTACCATAAAAAGCAGATGCTTTTAGCCGCCGGGAAACATTTAGCAGTTTTCTCTAAATTCCAGATGCATTTCGAATGCGTGGTATGTAATTACCCAATGCTGTCTCGCAGCAAAGTGTCAAAGATGCACCAAATCTAAATTTCAGCTTTCAAAGCTGATGGGCGTCGATTGTTGCCTCTCGTGTTTTTGTCACTCTGCATGACATTCAAAGAATTTTGCTTTTGAGGAACTTTCTTTAGAATCTCCAACATACTCTATTTTTTATTCATTTTATTTTTTCTATTGGGTGATGGAATCCCAACCTTGAAACTTTGGTGTGTGACTTGAGGACCCACAGGCAGGAAGTGGAGCCCGGCATGAAGCAGGTTCTAAATGAAGACAGGAAGTCTCTGAAAAAAAACAAATGAATGGAGTCAATGTTTAACAAGGACTCAGCGGAACAACAGCGTCTGTAATTTTTACAGTGAGGGCCGAAATGAATCCTTGAATGAATTGGTCCAAAAGAAAAGTTGATGACAATATGTCTGAGTGCGTCACCTCGTCACAAGGATAATCTGAGAAAAAAGAACTTCAGCAGCTGGTCTACTAGTATATGAGCATAATTCATATTCCTGTGAGCTTCAGAAACTTGCTTTGCTCATCTTAAAATTGAACATGTGGCGTTTCAGATGCTCTCTGGCCAAGACACAAATGGACCAGGAGCTTCTTCAACCTTCAGTTTCACTGTAAAAACTGAAAGAAATGTAATTGCCTCAGAAAAAAAACTATATTTATTGAACTACCAAAGGGATGAGCGCAGTCAATAAATCTGCAAACCTAAAAATACACTTAGACTTTTCAAAATTGACCTAAAAAATATGATATTTATATATAGATGTGTTATCACAGAGCTGACATAAAAAAAAAAAAGAGTCGAAACGTTTAATGAAATGTTCAGACAAAAATAACTTAAAAGACCTTGATTATAAACCTGACATGATACGTTGCACCGGACCGGAACCTCCGACCAACACAGACGTTGATACTTCACAGTACAGAATACTGAGGTGAAGCACAAATTGTGCAACAAAGCAGACATGTAGGGTAAAAAATAGACATTATAGAATGGATGCTATGCGATTGATTTTCTTTCTTTCTTTTTTTCTTTTTTTTAATCTCACAAGAAACACTTAATCTGTTCAATTTCGCAGTAGGTTGCATACTGTGTGGCGAGCTGCAGGCCTGTGCAGACAACAGTAATATAGCGTCGGCTGATCCGTTCCAACTTTTTTCAGATGGAAGAAATTCGCGGCTCTGACAAATCACCAGCTCTCCCAGGCTGCGCATTTTCTTTTCTTTAATCCAAAGTGTATATAAAACCCTTATCTACTGCAGGTAAGATAGTAATGACTCATAACTTCTTCACAGAACCTACTTGAGACAATGCAAGCTTCCTCTTTTTGTAATTATCTGGCCTATTCTTTGCAGTGTGCAGACCTTCATGCGTCAGAACGTTGTCATCATTTATGTATAAATATATCTAAAAAGGTTGAAAACCCAGCACGGTGCACAGAGGCTTTTATTTATTGCCTTCCTAATGGAATGCTGAACTGAGAAAGGAAACGTTCCTTCCAACAGAGGAGGGAAACTAATTACTGCACCGTATCTGCTTCATCTCAGTGGCAGTAACAGGTTCCTCGCTCTGCTCCACCAAAACATCCACTGCGTCCGCTCTCCCTGGCACCGCCGACTAACTCCATCCCTCTCTCCCTCCCTCCCTCCCCCACCGCCACCCTTTGCAAACTCCCATCTCCATAGCGACGCACGCCTGTCCTTGGCTAACAGAAATAATTGGTTGCCCCTACATCAAATGGTTGTTCTGTGTCTTTAAAAAAAATCCAAAAAATGCTGGTTTGGTTCACACGAAGGCCCTCCGACTTCTCAGCTTGTCTTCGTTTAACGTGGAACGTGCCGCATGCCGCCTCCTAAAAACGCTGCGTTGCTTTCTCAAGTGTTCGCAAAATGATGGCGAAACGGCGAACGAGAAGACGGCAGAGATGCGAGTCACTCAGCAGGTTTGTTGAGCACCTTAAGCTTCTGTCAGAGCAGAGTGAGGAAAGCAGCTTTCTTTATTTGTTTCTAAATGCTATCTGGCTGTGCTTTTGGTTCATTTATTTATTTTTTTAGCCATAAATATCCAAATGAAAAATAAATCCCCGCAGATTAAAATGCAGGTTCACCGTAAACCGACTGTTTTGGTTAGTGGAAAGGAGAGACGCGTCCTGGAAGACAGAGCTGCTGTTCAAAGTGAGTCAAATTCCAGCCTGACCCGAATCTGTGCTCTCTGCTATCTCCCTTAAAATGTCAAGCACCTCAATACGCTGATCAGGGCATAAAAGTACTTATATATATTATGTCCTTGAGTCCCAGAGATTAGAATTTCCATTTCAGGCCCCAAAAAAAAAAAGAAAAAGGAAGCCAAATATCACATGCTGAGCGAGGAAAACTGGAAAGGTTACTGAGCCTTATCTGCAATTATGCAAAAACACAGAGACCAGCCGAACCAACACTCGTTTCTACAAAGAGAATCGACAATGCCTTGATGTTGCTTACAGCATTCCTCCCTCGCCTGCTGATGTGTAGCGCAGCACATCCTAGAGGAGAACACAGGAAAGAACAGCTGACTGCACACTACTCACACCTTGTCAAATTGTAAATTATGAATGTATGTTATTAAAATTTAATTTGCTCCCTTTAGTTAAAAGAACAGAATTGGCAATTTAGCAAGTATTTTTTTATTGTATTGAGTTTTTTTTTTGTTTGTTTTGGGGTTTTTTTAAACTTCACGAGAGTCTCATTTTTGCAAGCCGAACAGAAAGGAATTCAGATAACAGTGTGGTGTAATTACATCCAAGTCTTGTGTGTGTGTGTGTGTGTGGGTGTGTGTGTGTGTGTGTGTGTGTGTGTGTGTGTGTGTGTGTGTGTGTGTGTGTGTGTGTGTGTGTGTGTGTGGGTGTGTGTGTCTCGCTTTTTTTCCCTCTTTTTAGAGAAAAAAAAGAAAGGTACCAATAAATCGGTGAAGAATCACTGTCTTTGACCCTCTTCTCCTGTCAGCTTTCTTGACACGAAGCCGCTAAGATGTTGACAACTCCACTTTCTGCACTCATTGTGTCAGCCGTTTCATTTTCAGAGAGCTTTCCTCTTCACAGGGGTAAGAATGAATCACATTTCTGATACACAAGTCGCACAGGAAAGGGAAAAAAAAACACACAAAAGAAAAAAAAGCCTTTTTTTCCCACTTATACATGGGAGTATAAATAGTTCTCCTTAAAAATAATAGCTTTCATCTACAATTATGTCTGTAAGTACTCAACGTGAGAGCAATGGTGCCCCCTTGTGTAAAAATGTCATTAATTAACTGGTAGTAATATGAATAATGTGGTTCATCCTAATGCAGGCTGGTGTGCAAAGCTTTTTGATCATCTTCATTCCGCGCTCAGACGCTTTCCTCTTCAGGAAACTTGGATTTATTCTCTCTGAAGTGGAGGGCGTCGCCCGCGTCCTGGTCCGTCCCGGTCAGTCCCGGTCTGTCTCGGCCCGCTCCTCTCCCCCCTACCCTCCGCTGTCAGCGCTCTGGGCACACCGCACCACCCTCGGCTCGGCCAGCCGCTCGTAGGACAGGACCGTCATAACCTGTAGACACATATAGCGGCATGTGGCTGCAGAGAACAGAGGCCTTTGAGTAACAGTGCGTGGGCTATTTATGACACGCTGAGCAAAAGATTTTGCTTTAAAATGAAGAAAGAAAAAAAAACAACCTAACGGTAGCTGCTGTTTAACTCGTTGGGTCGCACCATTATCCCCACGTAGACAAAGTGCTATTGATCGAGGCAATTAGCTATTAATCACAGCAGGCCGGTTAAAGGCCCAATGAATGGGATGTTTAAGTTTAAACACTGACAAAAAAAAAAAGAAAAGGATTTAAGGTCTGGAGGAGAAGCAGACAATGCGGTGACCACAAAAACCAGGTTTCCCCAAGAGACCATGTTTGGTCTACAGGCCATAATCTAAGAACAGAACCTGACACCCTGCAGCTCAGTGAAAACATTGTCACTGCGCTGCTTAGAAACCATGATCTGAAGCTGAGACTAAGATTATGCCCACCGACCCACCCACGCCTGGACAGGATTAGATTTTAACATTAATTGCTTTCCTTGGCATCACCCTACAGCAGCTGTGGTACCAAAGTCCAGTCCTCACGACCCGCTGTCCTGCAACTCTCAGAAATATCTCTTCTCCACTTCACCGAAATCAAATGAATGGCAGACTATAGAACCCAATGACTTGTTGATAGGGTTAGGGTTGAAGGACAGCAGCTCTTGAGGTTTAAAGCTAAATCTACAAGGCGTCTGAAGAAATCTGCTGTTAACTGCAGAATTGAAGATGATAATCTTGAATACATTTTAATACCAAACATTTTATGCACTGTGCACAAAACAAGCTGAGATATGTCATGAAAATGCTGTATACATCAAATACGACTTCAAAGAAATTTGACGTTTTAAGTTAACAGCATAAAATTGGGACGCCGGCTCTTTAAAAACGCCGGCTCCTTCTGAACCTCATCACAACATGGCTCTGCTATTAACCCTTTAACAACGTTTTCACCAGTCAGTGAAAGGCTCCAGCTCTACTCACTGTGATCATGACGAGCAGAGCCAGCATCATGCCCAACATCACGTACAAGTTATTGGTCAATCCTCCGGCCCACAAAGGACCCAAGATGGTGGCCAGGCCTCCGACGGAGCGCCGGACACCTTGGCTGAACCCTTTCAGAGAGGCAAAACAAAAAGATCCATTTATATTTCACTTGCGTCGATATTAAAATATGGCTTTGACATTCCATATTTGCGAGACTTTTTGTTTTTTGTTTTACAATTTCTATGTGCACAGCAACAATCTGTTGTTTGCACATCTTGACAACATAACATGAGCACACCTTGAGTTTTCTCAGCAGTGACTTTGGAGAAGAGCGACACCTGAGACACAGCCACGAACGGAAGCCCGAGCAGCTGCAGGAAAACTCCCACGATGAAAACTGAAAGCTGCCATTCAAATCCACCTGAAAGGCACGGGAAATATGGAGAAATAGAATCAATGGTTATAAACTCTGTAAAAACTTCTTTCATGTTTTTATCAAATAGATTTGCTTTTGTTCTTCAGCTATGTGTCAACAGACTGAGTAGAGCGACTGGTTGCGTTTTCATTACAAATGCGCACAAAGCAAACGTTGTCTGTATTCCGCTAACGTTGAAAAAACACAAATGCAGTTTCATTAAGTAAGAAACACATTTAAAATCACACGGATAAGTCATTAAAAAGCATGCCGTGCCATCATCCTTCCACTACTTCCTGTCATTTCTTTGTCATTTCCGGCAGTAGTAACATCCGTCTGTTGATCATCCGTCTGTTGAATCCGTCTGTGATTCAAACAAAATGTTTTCATTTAAGTTTTGTGAAATTCACAAATACAAGACGTTTTTATTTTAAAAAATGATTTTATGTTTTTTATTGGTGTGTTTCATAAAGCAAATTTATTTTTGTTATTTCAATTTGGGTAATTATATGGCTAATGAAAATGTTGTGTTTTCAGCCAAATTGCATTTTATGAAACTACAACACTTTTCCTCGCATCACGAGTTTCTCATTGAAACATTTTCAATCCATAGCTCTTCTGTAAAATCACTGGCGGTGCTTATCACGCCAACGCCTGAATGCCGATGTCTCCTCTGATGGCTGAAAGATGATGAGCCCCAGCGTCGTGGCTAAATTATGAATCTATCTCAAGGAACCGTTTACATCTGTCACTCGAAGGGTTTTTTAATGACGTCACTTTTTCACGTGTGATTTTAACTCCACTTCGTATTTAATGTCAACGCTGCAATTACAAAGTTGCGTTCTGTGGACGTTAGCGGGATATAGACAAAGATCTGGGCACGTCTGTGGTGGAAACGCAGCTGGTGAATCTCGGTTTCTCCCTCTCCCTCCACTGGTTTCTAGGTTCTCCTTCATAAACGGGCTGGCTCCTCCACAGAGAGCTCTTGTCTGCAAAATAAAACCTCTGCCAAGCTGGCAGCCACTCCGTTTCTGCTCTGTGCTGCCTTGCATCATGCACATGTTTGTAGGAATCTGTGCCCACTCGAACGGTTGGATGTTCCTGTTCGACTTGAACGTCTATAATCTTACGATGAAAAGGCAGTTCTGCAAATTAAGCCGCTCCCTCAAAGGACCGAGTCTGGAAATCCTTTTTTTTTTTTTTTGCCCAGGTATCCATCTGTCATAAGTTTGATGCTATTGTTTGTTTAAGTGGAACTGAAACAAATACAGAACAAATGTAGGCTACGCTCTAACAAATAGCTCCCCCACCCCCTTTAATTAGATTACTGTAATCCTGTTAAATGTACCCAGGCTGCACCCGGCTCCAGCACCTGTCACTGTTAATCAGTGCGATAAACGTGACGAGCTGCAACAGACGCAGGCCAACGCGAGCACACAGGATCCGGCCTGCCTGCCCGCCTGCCTGCGTGAGCTCCTGCTGGCCCACCAGAGCCTGAATGATATCATTTAAAGAACTCATTCATTTCATCTGCCGGGTGACCCAGTTCCAGCTCCGCACACCGACACTGGTCAGACAAAGACAACCTGGCTCTGAAACAGTCCCTCCCTGAGTCTGAGTGTGCGTGTGCAGTCGTTGGGTGTGTCCGCGTCTTTTCACGGCCAGTTCAGCACCTCGGGGCTTGCAGAGGAAGACGAGGCACCAGATACAGGCGGTGCAGCAGATGACCAGGCCCACGGCCAGCACCACGCGGTCCGCAACCTTGCTGCTCAGCCAGCGCACGAAGAAGAAGCCCACGATGACCTCAACCCCACACAGGCTGTACATCAGGCTGTTGCCCAGCTCGCCGAAGCTGAAGTAGCGCTGAGTCAGAGGGGTCACCATGGTCTGGAGGGGAGGGGTCAGTTAAAGACAGACAGTCAGGGTAGATTCAGCAGGAATTTGAAGGTGAAAGTGAAATTAGTTATGACAAGAGTACAAAACATCATTGTACAGAGAAAGCGCACCTACAGAACCCAACTGGTGAAATGGGAGACAAAATAAATCAATTCATGCCCACGTCTTAATATCTCGTGGCCACGACTTCATGACAAGTGGAAACGACCTGTTTAATTCATGGTTACAGCTTAATATCTAATGGGAGCTACTTATTTATTTAATGGGAATGACTTCACGATGACAAGTCGTGCCCACAAGTCTTTTTTTCTCTCCTTAGTCACCAGGCAGAGAGAAAAACCAAAACTCGACAACTTAGTTACTTGTGGCTACGACAAGTCGTTCCCACAAGTTAAGTTGTTGCCACAATTTCTTTTTCCCCACATGGCACCGGAAGGGCACAAGCAGTGGCTTCCCATCACTTCAGTTGATTTCACTGTGAAATGGGCGTAGAGTCGTTCGCTGTTGGCTCCACAAACAGACAAGAATACAAAGGAAACGTGTTATTTCCTTTGACGAGGAAAGAAGACGGAGATGGATAGCAGAAGGAAAGTTGGAAGAACTGGCAGCCATCGGTGCCGGTCCTCGTGCAAATTTAACGTTCATATTTTTAGAAAGTACGTTTGGTAAAATATAATCAAGTACGGCGCTATGGAAAAGGTACACATCTAATCAACAGTGACCATGGAGAAAGCGCCACATGATCACGTTACTGACACCATGTACGAATAAAATGCTCTGGCATCTAGACTTTTGTAGTTGTTGTTAGAGAAAAGGCCATTTATGGCCTGTTGGTATAAATGATGTGGGGTGAATTCAGGCAATTTGATCACATCAAACACGTCAGGAGAGAGAAAGTGCAGGTCCGGTTTCTAAGCTGGCTGTTTCCAACTTTTGTCATCAATACTTCTGTCAATGACGCTGTTCGGGAAAATGATTTGACCTTTTCTGATATCCCTCAGTTTCATATGGTGCTACAAGCAAAAACAAAAGAAAATCTGCAAATGAAATCGGATTAAGTTCAGTTTCAAATGAGATTCTGAAAAGAAAAGACGGAACCAGACACTATGAGGGAAAAACCCAGCTGACAGGAATCTCGAGTGGAGTACGTGTGTTTGGAAACCATTTAAAGGTCTGGTTAAATATAATCAAAAGAAGTCCAGCGTAGAGTTTAATGTGTCGTGTGAAGAGAACTCAGTGTACTGTGACTAAATAACAGTTTGGCCTCCTGAGAGCCACTAATCTGTGAGGCAAACAAAAAAAAATGGTTTCATTATGTGTGGAGTAAAGACAGAACCCTGGTCAATGGAATAAGGTTGTGTGGTATTTCAGAGTGATAAGCACATTAGAAGAAGAAATGATGGGTTTATCATCGCGAGTGGGCAACACATTGATCTGGAGCTGCTGCTGTGATTGGTCAGCTTTGGACTCAAATGTTTGGTGTCGATATTAAAGTCAGCTGACTTCCAGGTTTCACATAGCGGGATGTTTGACAATGGGCTTACTGGGGCTGAAAGTGGGAACGACTGACTCAGGCATCATAAAGGTGTCATTTTCACACATGGATTGGGCTCCGCAGAGCCCCGACCTGAACTCTATTGAAAATCTTTAGGATGCGCTCCAGAGGACTTTACACAGCAGTCTGAGCGTCCCGTCATCAGCACACGATCTCGGTAAGAAATCGATGCGAGTCCAAAAGGATACAAATGACTTTGGGTACCTTGAGCTAATTAAAAACAATTACACAGGAAGCCTGTGGTGCCTGCTGCAGGCTGCTTCTCTGCTCACAGATTTTTTTGTCTGCTTGCTTTTTCTCAAACATTTTTCTCAAACAAATTTGACAGTTTTTCTCAGTCGCTTTGGTCCATTTCTCGAATCGTTTCAACACTATTCAACAAATGGCATAAGAAAAAGCAGAGAATCGTACAGAATCCTGTGCGCGGCCGTAAATTTGCCTCTTGCTCACAGAAATGAGAAACTGCTGTTATTTATTTATTTTTTTATATTGAACAAGTAGTTCTGAGAATTTCATTTTGTTCTGAGAGATGCACCAAAAAGAAAAGCTGTTAAATGCTTTTTATGATTTGAAACATTCGGATGCAGGATGAACAAAAATCCACCACATAATATATCTGCAAAAGAGCAAAAACACTTTGCAGCTCTGTTCACCCCAAATCACCCTAACATTGAGGAAAGGTGACTTGATTTTTACTTTGTGTTTATTTGATCAAGAATCGATAAAAACAAAATTGTTTAGGTGTCTTGAGTCAGGATTGGCTCCTGCTCAGGCCCCGAGTGAAAAACCTGAGCAGAATGTTTGCAAGCTTTGACTGATAGATCGAAATGGTTGCTCCTCACCTCCAGCGCTGTCTGGTTGAATAGAGTGATGAACTGAGCCGTAAGGAGAACAACCACTTCTTCTCTCAGAAACTCTGTAGTGTGGAAGACAGAAAAATCAACGAGAAAATCAGCAAACAAGTTCAGCTGAAAAGTCTCTCTGCTGGCACGCGATGCGGAGATAAAGTTCGGGAGGGAGCGAAAACTCCAGAGCCTCAAAACTCAAACTTCTTCTGCTTTAGACAAGTGTGAATTGGAGGTTTTCCTCTTGTGAGGATGAGAGATAAATAGATCTCCATGTCTCGGTCCCATCTTTTCCTGGAACAGAAGCTCCCGTATGGACGTAGCGGGGTTGGAAAACGAGCCGGGCTGCAGCTAAATTTGGATGTTCTCATCAGATGGCTGGAGAAAAGCCTCCATATTACAGCGAGCGGTCCGCTCTGGTTCAGATGTCTTTGTTCCCTCCTCTGTTGTTTACTGGAGTTCAGCTTTTGTAAATCGCTCTTTTACTGTGTATATAAATATGCTGTCTTAAAGCAGCTGCTGTTTTGTGCAAATACGAGCCAGAATAGGTTCAAATGTCGACTACAGATTTTCTCAATAAAGATACTCGGAGGATTGAATGGTTCCTACACATTTCCCATGTCGAAAGGTCAGAAGCTTTCGACATGGGAAAGCTCTGGATGTCAGACATCCAGAGTGGTGATCCTGATTGCTTCCTTTCAGCCACAGATAGATAAGAAAAGACTGATGGACAATTAATAAAGATGGATGGATGGATGGACAGACGGACGGACGGATGGATGAATGTGGATGGATGGATGGATGGATGGATGGATGGATGGATGGATGGATGGATGGATGGATGGATGGATGGATGGATGGATGGATGGATGGACGGACGGATGGATGGATGGATCTTCTTTAGCCAGATGTTCATGTTTTTCAGTATTTATGTATTATAATGATCCCAATGTGTATTAGAGAACAGCTACAATAAATTCAAACTTTTTCATTCAGTCCTTCTTTTAATAATCGTTGTAACATTTCTCACTGGATCAATGATTGTTAAAGAAGTTTTCTGAAAATAACCAAAATGCTGCAGTTTTCTGTAAATGCACAGGAATGTTGATCAGGTTCAAGCCAAACCAACTGTAAAAGATACAAGCAGACTATTAAAAAAACATGATAGCAGTTCAAAATCCAAAAAGTAAAACAGTAAAAATAAAACACCACAGTGATTTTATTTTTAGCTATTTTTCTTCTCCTTGGCCCGTGACAGAGACAGGACTTAATGAAAGAAAACGTATGCTCTGCCACATTTTCAAAGGTTCTCCACAGTTATAGGGGAAAAATAGTCCAGGAGAATCAATAATTCAAGGGAGCGAATACCAGACACTGTAACAGCTAAACGGAGCGGAGTTTCTAGTATGGCAGATTCTCTTCACAACAAACAGGAATCGATGGGAACTCTGGTCACTTTACCAATTCTGTCTCCATTTCATCCACGAGTCAACCAAAGCAGGCCAGTCAATAAACAAGGAGGTCTGCAAGCCTTCTCTCTGCCTCAACTTCAAAGAGTGAGAAGATCGATAACCGGGTTTGACACATACATGAACACACACACACACACACACACACAGTCATTTACATCTGTCCTTACTGGGACACCGTACCGACTTCCATCAGCAGTAGAGGCCCTGAGCGACAACCATGACACTAAACTTCTCTCCAAAGATTCAGACTGACGATGAGATGTTTTCCAGAGTAGTCACCCATATGAGGAGAGAAAAATGGCTCCTTGGATGACAGACCTCTGGTTTAGAGGAAACCTCAACATTGGGGTAGTAGTTTCCAACTAGTAAAAGTAAACCACATCCTACTTAGTTAGTTCTAGCACTGGTTCCTGTTCTTGCAGTATGCTGTTCCTGAATGTGTCCAGTCGGCGCCCACTGATCAGCGTTGCCAGATCTTGTGAAAGGCAAGCAGAAAACAAGGAATGAATCATGTAATGGGTAAAAATATCCTTCCTCAATTCCTTAAGCACATTAATGGAAGACGCATTTAGGTCCTTCAAAGCTGAAGTGAAACATAAACAAGGAAAATGAAGACAGAGAAAACAGGTCCTCACTTTTCACATGTGACCTGCTTTTGTTGGTGAATGTGAAACTAGTCCTCTGTGTGTAGTACATACAAGCACACATACACACACACTCACGCACGCACACATCGGTTCAAAGTGCAACAACAGATAATCAATAATGACAGCCAATCACCGCTTGTCTTGTATGTATCGTTACTGTGAGGCTAATGCTGTAGGACGCCTCACATCATCTATATGTATTTTCTGCTTTTCCATACAAGCAGAAAATACAGAAGTACTGTCAATACAAGAGAATCTGATTTGATACGCTGCGCAAAATCCTTCTGAGCAGAGAAAGTCAATGTAACCCTGTGTGTATGTCTGTGTGACTGCAAGAAAAGTCAATAAAGCAGATTCAGAACTTGCGCATCGGCTGTGACACCTCTTCCTACACAAAGCCTCCGATAGCCGGAGGAAAGTTGACAGTCAGTGCTCAGTCAGTCCAAGCCCAGCCATTCGCTCACCGTTGCTGACGCTGAAGTTTTTGAAGGGGTTTGAGGTTTCGTGGGCTCTCTGCGACGCGGACGAAGTCTCCGATTGGTCGGAGTCGACGGCTCTGTAGGTACGCGCCTCCTCCTCGTCTGACCCCATCAGGGGCGCCTCCTCTTCCTCCTGCTGTTTCATTTCCAACGCGACGACTCCCCCCTGCGAGCTGATGGGCGGTGCGTCCCAGTATCCAGCCAGGACGACGAACTGAAGCAGCGCCCACAGCAGACACATGAAGATCTGAAAAAGACACACATTTGAAATCCTAGATGCCTGAAACATCGAGATGCGAGATCAGCTTCAAATTATGTGGAAAATTGAAGCAAGCAGTGAAGGAGGGGCCTCTCCATTTCATCTTGGCTGAATCAGTGCAACAGGTGTTTCATTAAGGCATGGTGGGATGGAAACAGACAGACACGGATTGTTACAAGCCTGAGCTTTGCTGCATAGTGTTTTATTTCTATTGTTGAGAGAACAAGGCGGGGGGATCCACAAGAGTTCAGAATGCGGAGCGACTATTTCTACGGCTCGTTTCTGTGTTCATGAGCCTTTCGGAGAACCTCAGATTACTGATTGTGTGGATGCGGTTACCCCAGGAGACGTGTACTTGTTCACAACAAAGGGCCCCAGTTTGAAATCACACAGCCGCAGGAACAAGTTGAACGCCGGCCCTGGAGAGACGGGAGGAAGAGCTTTAAAGACGAGACGAACGGAGGACGTGCACAAGACACTAGCCGTACACCGAGGTGATTTTATTGAATGGCCTCTTCTCCTCGCAGATCAAACCGCACATCAAAGCCAAAAGATCCTTCCCGGTGTCTGATGTTTCACCGGAATACAGAGGAGGGTGCGGAGACGTGGGAGAGGGAGGAAAGGAACTGACCGATGAGAAGGCCGGCCTGACGACAGGCCATGATGGCTGCGAAGATACCGGCTCGCTCCTCTGGCAGAGTGCTCCGGGTTAGGAAGCCAAAGATGGAGGAGCCTGCTCCTGCACCCACACCTGAAAGAAAAACAGCATATTTCTGTTCATCTCAGCTTAAAGGGATGCTTTGCTTCCTCTAGAGGATCTGGACTCTTTTGAACAGATCACTTCCTGTTTCCTGTGTTGACATTTTTACTGCAGCTCCGCCTTCAGGAAGTCAACATAACATCCTTTATTAACTCTTTAACATTTTTACAAGTGTTGCACAGCGAAGCAGCTCCCATAATGAGCAGAGGCACCTTTTTACCAGGTGTTTGCTAATTGATGCTGGCTAGTCTGAAGGAGTTGATGTGGAGGACGGGGGGGTTATGGAGGACGGGTGCTCTGTGAGGTGCAAACTTGCAAACTGGAGCTTCGCCCTTGAAGACGAGGTCCACCCAGCCGTTTTTGGACAGCTGGATGGTTGCCAGGGGAGATTCGAGGATTTCCCAAACATGCATTAAAGAATCAAGGCAGCACCTTTGATGAAGGAATAACATTATGACATAAAGAAGAGAATGTACTTCTTCTATTTTTTTTAAATCAAATGCTACTAATAGAAAAGTTTAACAAACTCAAACTTGATTTGTGTAAAAACAGAGTTCACTCTGTGTGTTCATGGTGACCCATTCAGGTTTTCAGAAGTACAAGATCCAATTCCAGCACACAAAAAAGATAAGAGGCACCTAAGGTCTCTGACTCCTCTCCTTCTAAGGCGGATGTAGTTGGATATAACAGAACAAATGTTTTAACTACAAATTCCACACCAAATTGCCTCTGAAGACTCAAAGTGTCGACTACTCCCACCAAAACACCTGGCACACTTCAACCATGTCCTTGATGGTGAGTAATCCATGACTCACATGCATGCCACTGTGAGTGTTTGTGTGTATTAGTGAGTGTGTTACCTGCGACAAGCCGACTGCATAATAACAGCCACTTTGAATAGCCAATAAAATACATGAAGTTACCTGGGAACAAATGAAAAAGAACAATGCTAGTGTTCAGGCTCTACAACGACAGTTTCTTCACTCAGAAACTAGAACTCTGGATGTATGTTTAGCTTCAACAGGAGGTCGTCGCATAACCTCTTGTTGGAAGGAGATAACATGTCAACATCTCATAACGTAGCATTCAGGAAAAGGTAAACGTCTCACCAGCGATTTCAAAGAGGTTGGAGAACAGGATGATGGATTTGGTCGTTTTGCTTCGATCTGACCAGACTCCAAAAAGAGGACCCGTGATCAGAGCGCTCAGGCTGAAGGCAGACAGGCCCAGACCCAGGAAGTAAGGTGGAGCCTCCAGAATCTGCAGATACCTCCATATTGTGGGTAGAATGACAGCTGGAACGGCAGCAGAGGAACAGGGGAAGAGAAGAGTTCTTACAGACAAAGTGGTGCAAAAATGCTGACACCGCTCCACCTTTTTTACATCCTTTGTCGGGATTTTATGTGGCGAATCAACCCAAAATGTTGCAGGGAAGATAAAATGGAAGAAAAAAAAGACACATGGTTTCTAAAAAAAAAAAAAAAAACCTAATGAGCTTTGAAAAGCACGTTGTTCTTATGTGTTTAACTCTAAACAACCCTGAGTTAGAAAACCTGATAGTTCTTCAGAATCGCTTCCACTGGGGATCAAAATAGCAACATTGGTTACATTTTCAGCAGGCTTGGTCTTTTTTCATACTTCACCATGTCAAACCAGCCAAACTGTTTGAAAATCCTGCTCACCTCCTCACTTATGGCGCCGCTGCATCAATAACTACTGAAGGACATGAAACCCTCTGAAGAACACACTGAGAACAACAGCATTTTTCACAAAATGTAAACAAAAATGGAATCCGCATCAGATTTCAGTGGTTGGTAAAAAATAAAAAAACATTTAAGAAATAAAATAACCCAACATGAGTCATTTCTCCTGCAACAGCGTCAGACTCTGGCGTTTGTGTTGGTCGTATTTACCCAGAATGCCCTGCGCTGCAACCCGCTGCCTGCGTTCGGAGCGATCTCTGGTCCACAAATTGCAATTCTGAAAATACATTTGGCTTCAAAACAGACATATATATCAATTAAATGCTTTGGCGCCGGGATGAGGTGGTTTTTGTCGGCTGTATCGATTTCGCAAAGTTTCAATGGAAACACTTTTTTCACGGCACACGAGTCGTGATGGACGATTGGATGTTACTACTGGCGGAAAAGACAAATAAGAAGACGGGAAGCAGTAGGAGGATGATAACGCAGCATGTTAGCGAATGACCTATCATGCCAGCAAGCTTATTCACGTGTGATTTTAATTGCGTTTCTTATTTCTGGGAACCACTGCACTTGTCAGATTGTGTTTTTCCAACACTTGTTTTTTTTCTTTTTAAAGTTTTGCCTACATTTGTGATGGAAGCGCAGCTCGTGATGCGCCACGTTGTGCAGAATCCTAATGAAACCCTTCAGCCTGTGGCTGCAGTGTGAAGGTTGGTGGAGGGTCGTTAGCACAGCACTGCACACCGGACATTCAAACAGCCGCCATGTTCTCTGTGATGTGCACCACCAGCAGAATGTTTCAACAGTGATATTTGAAAAAACTCACCGTACTCTATCCCGCTCAGCATGAATATCAATCCAATGGTAAGGAAAGTCAGAGTCCTCTTCTGGCCAGTCTCCATTGTGCCGACTTGCTTGCCGCCCCGAACCGAGTGTATGTTGTCGTGAAATGTTCAGCGGCGCCACAAGATAACAAGACACACCATGCGTCCACTTACAGCCTCCGGGCCGGATGACTGGAGGAACAAGTCACAGCATTGTGCGAGATCACGGCACGGCTTCAGACAACAGAGGAGAGGTCTTAGGCGTGTGAAGGTATCACATCAGGACAGAAAAACAGTTCACCCCGACTGGAAATAATTGCAGCGGCGCAACTCCATTAGGCATTTACGCCCAAGATGAGATTCTGCTCCAGTCCCATTACAAGTGCAGAACCAAGCTGCAAGCCTCACGGTCAAGGCAAGGTGTCGGGTTGCCAGGTGAGGCGGAGAACCCGGCGCTTAATACATTTTTAATCTTGTTTTCTTCAGTTACATCAAAAGCGTCGGATTCTCCTGCCGTCCTGTAAGGAAGTGGGCGCAGCACACAGTGTACATGCAAAGGTGTTTGCTTTTTTTTGTTACAGAAAAGGGAGTTGAACTGAACTAAAAAAGTCCAAATAAACACATACGGCTGAAACAAGATGTTTACATGTAATATAGAAAAGGTCACAAAAACTTTTTTGTTTTTGTTTTGAAAGAGAAAGAAAGATAATCAAATGGCAATAAAACGTCAGATTGCGTGATTTTGACTGACACAAATCTGCCGAGAGCAGACACCTCAGAATTCAAACATAACTTGGTAGAGGTAACGTTTATAGGGTCACTTGTTATATTTTTAAAAGGTTCACGTAAAACACAGTTGAGATGTGAAGAAAAATTTCACAACTGCAACCTAAGGAAACTCATTTGCAAAGCAACTGCATCAGTTAAACATATAATCTGATAGAAACTGCAAGTGTTCAATGTGTTACTGTGTTTCCCGTAACACAGTCAATATGTGACTTACGTAACCAGTGCTGGAGAATGGATCACTGAGGTTGGGGGATGAGCTCACCTTTCCTCTGGCATCATTTCTTTAACCGCTCTGGACGGCGACATCCTGCAGAATTAAAATGGTCCAGGCGAATTATCCAGGGTATTCACTGGTTTAACAGAATCTTTCATTTAATCTAGACAGCGAACTAAAGCCTATTAACAAATTGTGAGCAAAAAAAAAATACTCCAACCATTCTCTTCTTCAATGTAAGCGATAATAAAGCAGCATGTATTATAAGACTGGTGGACTAGAAGGGTTTATTTGTTTATTTTACTTGTTTGTTCGTTTTAAATGTTTTCTTTTTACGCACCAGTAACAGTGAAAACGAATGAAACTAGTTTTGATGCACTGAACCTGGTATGAGGATGTGTAAATCAACTGCCCCTTCTCTGCACCTGCCCCTTGGCCCAACAAGCTGTTATTGCACCTCTGATGTGTTTTTTGCATCTTTTAACAAAAAACTGCTCTAGCACCCCGACTGAGCGCTGCGGGTTTTCTGGGGGAAACGGCGATAAAGGCTTTTCAAACAAAATCCTTTTTGTTCTGCGATAGGTTTCGATGCTTGGCTTCTGTGTCCAGGCGCTGGCGTTGGGCGGATGGACTCTCTGGAGGAACGAGAGTCTCTGGAGGATCGGATGAGATTCCTCAGGCGATTCCACCATGGAGACAAATTCTGGCCCCAAGAGAAACAGATGAAAGTTTATTTAATACTAACGTGAATTACAGATATAACAAACCAGTTTCATATTTGATGGTCAGACCGTTACTAAATATCCTTTTCTTGTAGTGACAACTAGAACAGTTCATTAAATTGCCTTGCTGCATAAATGTTTGCATCTTCAAAACTAGTTGGCCTGTTTCTAAACCCTCCAGAGCTTTTAGTTTGTGGTTCATCTCCCTGCTTCTTGCCTTTACCGGCAGTCTTTGTATTTCTGCTTCAAAGCGGCCAGACTTTCTGTTAGCGGCGCTTCTTAAGGCGTTTTGAGAGCCTTTCTTTGAACGCCGGCTCCTTTCAGAACCGCTCATTGCAGAAAGCAGCGCATCTTAAGATTTCTGAGACGACCAGCCATTAATTATTAAGGTGAAGAAAACACCTGCAGTGTCTTTTCCACAGCGAGTCGGACGCCGGGAACTTTTCCAACTTTTTGTCACAGTACAACTACAAACCTCGACGCGCGTCACTGAGATGCCATGTGATCGACCAGCACAAAGTTGTGCAGAGGAAGGAAAATATTTCTTATGTCTATTAACATGCTTCACACATTGTTAGTTGAACATGTTTGTTTTTGGTTCCTTCAGGGGCCACTTGATGCCTCACACACAGTGTGTGATGAACGTGTGTGGAGCTGCAGCAGCGGCTGCCATTAGTCAAAGTGTCTCCTTAATAATACTGCTAATACTACTAATAATAGTAGATTATTGTCTTTCCACATCATTAGGGTGTGTGTATCTCATAAAGTACACAGAAGCTTGAAAGTTACAAAATGGACGTTAAAGAGATGATGTTGAAAAATGGAAATCACACCACATAAATGTAACACCCAATGAATAAACAAATGTATAAAATTACAAATAAATTAAAAAGTTAATAGAAATTTAGGTGTTTTTGAAAAAAATTGTATTTATTTATTTTAAACATTTTTGCTGGCCTCCTCGGGGCCCCGGTATCAACATTATCTGGAGCTGCCACTGAACTTTTAAAAATCTGTGTCAAGTCTGTTTTTTTTTTTAATTGTTATTATTACTATTATTATTATTTGCTTTCACATTACAAAATATGTTGTTTTATTTAGCTCAGGTAGATTTAACCAGAAACTGTTGGAAAACAAAAAAATTAAAATGAAAAACTTTCGGCGACCTTCAGAAAGCCTGACGGACTATTGATCAAATCTACTTTCAAATTTATAGGAAACAAAACACAAAGTAATGAGGCGCGCCTCTGGCTGTCTGCATAATACAGTTTATAAAGGAAAAAGCTTAACTGAATTCAATAGTGGGTGAAGCGGGTGAGACGTGGCTGCTGCGTTTTCAGGCCGCCGGGGGCCACTGGGGGCCACTGGGGACCACTGGGGGCCACTGGGGACCGCTGGGGGCCTCGGGCGGCTTTTATTAAACTCAGCCGTCAACAGGTTAATACCTCCACCTGCTTTTCAGCAATTTATAAATAATATCAGAGAGCCTGATTGTTTGAGTGACACATATGAACGAGCTCAGCTTCCTGCACTGCAGCCGGTGTATCCAGGTGACCTGAGGTGCTTCAGCAGATCAGAGGGATTAAGATGAGGACTCACCTGCTCAGGTGAGTTTTTTTGGTTTTTATTACTTTTTATCTTGCTTGAAAGCTTTGAATCTGTCTAAAAAGAAAGACAAGAGCAAGCTCAGCCTTTTCATGGCAAACAGCTCCAGCAGAGTGTCACAGGCCGAGTGAGAGCCTATTAACGTGCCACCTGCCTTACCTGTACCGGTTTCTATAGAAACACATGAGGGTGGAAGATTTTGCGCTCACCTTTGAGCTTTGGTAAACAACAGCAAGTTCCCTGGTGAACTGACTGGAACCCGGTGCATTAATCCCCCTGGCTGCCTGCTGGAAGACATGAGATGATCTTTCAGGGCACAGGAAGGACATTTGACTTTCAGATACAGAGAGAGGGAGGAAGAAAATAAATCAAATACAGGCTTGTTAGGAGGACACAGGTACCGGCGGGCCGAGGGAGGCGGCTCCAGATAGAACCGGGCATGTTCTTGAACACGGCTTCTCCCCGGAGGTCGTTTAGCATCCCCATTAACATCAACCTGCCTGGCGCTCGCAGGCGGCGGACACGGTAAGAGCAAATGATCGACTGGGCTGGAGGAAACACAGCTGGGAGTTCATTACGGCTGGAAAACACTCGGAAATGCAAGCAGAAGCTTCACCGAGTAAACTGCTGGCCGACGTTGGGGGACGGTGCGAAAGCAGCGACACGGGCGGCTCGAGTCTGCATCGAGTGAAGATGCTTCACACTGCGACTTGTTTATTCCACATCTACACTTGGATGTCGGCTGCAGTCCGGAGAGGCGGTCCGTTGCCCTCGGACTGGCTAAATAGAACTGCTTCAGAGCCTCGAGGGTTACGTGACCTTTCAGAGAAAGATGACATGTTTTTTTCTGGGAAATGTCCACCACAGTTTTATTCCTAATTTTAAAGTAGAGGGAAAACATTCTTCTAAAAGAAGATGGCTATATTGCCTCATATTCCCCACCTACTAACAACAGATATGCATGAATAAAAATGACAAAAATTCAATAAACAGACAGATTATTCAATTTAGCACTAAATTATACGTCATTAAATTATTAAATATGTCAACATACCATGAAATGATAAAACTGCAATTAAATAATCAAATGTCCCATAAAATAATTAGATCTACCTTTTCAGATAATAAATTGAAATCATAAAAATGTATTTTTAAAGAAATCCTTTGCTCAAGAATCTAAATGATTTCACCGTGTTCATTCATTTCACGGCTCCTGTGAAATAATTTATTCCGTCAAACTCGGTGGGCGGATCGAATCCAGTGAAACTCGGTGATTTGTTCTGCTCTGTTTTTGTGTTCAAACTTTTGGTTTTTGGTGCAAGATTTTGCTACTGAAATAACAAACTCATATATTTTAAAGTTTTCTGTACATATTTACACAAAAAGAAAAACTGAAATGTCAGAGTTGAAGCAGATGATTTTGGTGTTTAACACTCAGATTCTTTGTTTGCTTCAAAGAATCTGAAGCAAAACATCTTTTACAGCATAAATCAATACACACCATAAAATCTGAGGTTGAGTGTCATTAAGTCTGATTTATGTCCTTGTGTGTGTGCGTGTGTGTGTGTGTGTGGTGCGTGCGTGCGTGCGTGTGTGTGTGAGACACAGGGAGATCCAGCACACATCGGCGACACAGGAGCAGGAGAAGAGCCAAAGAGGAGACGGCGGCGGCCCCCACGGGGCCCGGAGTCAGATGCCTACGTCTAGTGTGGGAGAAGAACGAGCCATCCTGTTGGGCTTCACCATGATGGCTTTCTCTGTGCTCATGTTCTTTGTGGTCGGCATCACCACGGTGAAGCCTTACATCGACAGGTGTGCTGGCGTTCACGTCCAGGCTGTCAGTGGGGCTGAGACGTTGCATCGTATTTAACCTGCGTTGCTCGCCGGTGGGGTGGGCCGCTCCGGAATGGGTCTTTGCTCTGCTCTTCTGCTGGAGTAAAAAAACGAGGCTCTACAATAGGTACCATGTATCGAGCCGTTTACTATACCTCCTTTGGCAGAACACAGGGAAAGGAGGAAAGACCTCCGTCTAAGATTTGAACCCTGGACGTTGTTGTTGTGAGGTACAAGTGCTAACAACTGAACCTCCCGTGGCAGATGTAGCACGACATGGTCCTTAAAAGCACAAACTAAAATACTGGTGATAGTTTACAATGCTAGAGGGCTTTGGTCATTCTTCTCTAAAATGTCCCTGGTGACTGTTCTCCAGTTGCTGGGAGGAGGCCAGCTGTGTCCTGCCTCAGACTGATATCCTGGAGGAGTGGGTGGACTGCAGAGGGGTCGGCACGGTGCCCTGCCTCACTGTGACCGTCAGCGTCACCGGCTCCAACCAGTCGGCCTTTCTCCAGTTTGACGAGGATTCGGTCTTCCTTCCAAACAAGGTACATGTTTTTTAATCTTTCTAAATTTCCCGGGTCTCCTGACATCACATGTGACTCTGCACTAAAGCTTACTGAGATCATAATGGCCAAAGGCGGTTGTGCTGGTTCTGATGGGACGGATGCGAAATTAAAGACCTGAAGTCCAGGAATCGATAACACATCCGTTTTAGCAGATCCTGAGGCAACAAGCGACTTGGATTGTTTTTCTTCTATTCCAGTGTTTCTATCTCCCCAAGTGCCAAATGGACAGAAAAGGGCTTCAGGACGAAGTGCAGAAAGTAAAGAAGTGGGTGGACGGCCAGCTGAAGAACAGCTCCACGTGTTTCAGTGACCAGAAGGGCCACCCCAACCATGTCATCATGAACAGGAAGTACACCCTGCAGAGGGCGCTGTTCGGACTGCTGTGGCCCTGTCTGATGCTGGGTGGCGGATCGTTATTGGTGGGACTTGTGAAGCTGACGCAGTGCTTGGCCCGTCTGTCCACTGATCTGAGAAGTTATTCCAGAGGAGGAAGGCAGACTTTGAGATACCCTCAGGGCAAAATGTACAGACTCCTCCGGAGGTCAAGCATGCAATCTACCTTGTGACTTATGGTGGAACACAAACCGGTTGGATTTGAGGAAGTGAGATATTTTGGGGTCTTTGAGATCAGAAAAAAAAGGTTAAAAGTACCACTTGACTGGTCAAAACATCAAGAGAGTTTACAGTTTAAAGGAGCTGGTTATTGAGCAGGTCATGCCTAATCTGATAAGATCAAAATCTTACGGTGGTTATTAAATCTCACTTCAAGTTTGAGCCAATGATGGTAAAGTAATAGAAAAAAAAAAATCTAAATATGCTTTACCAGTGATACTGGTAATATCACTGGTAAATCTCATAAATCGGCAATAAGACACTATGTTAGTATACTGCAAAAACACAGTGTACATATTAACCATGTTAACATATTAGGCTAGCCTGGCGCCTGCTGCTTTACAGTAATGCTACTTGTTGTTCATCAGATGCCTATTTAGTACCTTAAGACTCATCTGTGCTGCTGCTTTAGTTTCAACACAAAGACAGTCCATGTAAAATAGATCAAGACTTTTGTTTGCACTTTCTCTTCCGTAACTCCAGCAAATTACTCAAACTTTCTCACAGAGTGCATGCTGGGCCGTATGCCTGGCCGAGGCTTTTCAACAGAAATCAGGAATATCTATGATAAATGGTTTTCACGGTGTAATCTGTGATCATAGGTGCAATTTTAGCAGATAGATTAAACTACTATCATCTATTCTGGCCGCTGGGGAAAAAAAACCTTACAGGATCACAAAAACATACACTTTTGTAAAGATATATACCTCAGCCTTAACATATAAATATGGGTGACTATAAAAGGAAGAGAAAATAGTATTTCTATTCAGGTCACAGTTACAGATTCAGTTATCCTGATAATTACATGCAGTAGAATCCAGGTAATTATATTATTTCTATACTAGCACACTGTAAAAACACAATCTTACCAAGCAATGTTGGCCTAGTTTCTAGGACAAATATCCTAGCAATATGTTGAAATAAGTCAAAACTAACATACAAGTAACTTTTCAGAAAGATCAGCAAGCTTGTTTTAAGTTACAAATTTCTTCACTTTGATGAAAAAGTACTAATTCAATTGGCTGATTATTAAACAAGGCATCTTTCCCATGTTATAAGTGAAATAATCTCCCAGTGGAACCAATATGTTTTCATCAATATTAAGGGACTTAAAACAAGCTACTTATAAGTTAGCTTTGTCTTATTTGAAGATGTTTGCATCAAAAACTAGATCAAAAACACATGGAAAGATCTTTTTGCACTGTATATTGTTAGTTCATAAAAAAAACTAAATTGTTTAAAATGTTTGTCCTGTATTTTTTTTTTTATCATCATAACTAACTGAAGTCAAATCCCCTAATTATTCAATGGCGACGTTTAAAAATAAAACGTATCGGTATAAAACGTATCGGTATCGGCGATACTGGCCTTGTGCTCACTCCGTATCGGATCAAAAAAACATTTCCAGTACCACACACCGTTAGTATTAGTTAATCTCAGAAATAAATATACATTAAAAAACATTTTTATGTTTATCTGTCTGTTCATGAAATGATCCATTAACTTTACCCCATAACGAGCGTCATGAGTCCATCCGATAAGCTGAATGGCTGCGACTGAAGAGGAGCAGATGTGGTTCGGTGGCGGTGAGGAACACTTCAAGACGATACGAGTGTCTCCTCCCCAGGAGGCCGCAAGAATCACTTTGGCTCCCTGGCAGAGCTCGCCCAACACTTGTACCAGGAACGGCTTGAGTGGATCTGCTACTCACACCCACTTGTAGTGAATGATGCGACAAGAAGCTACTTCCGCCTCCAGAAAAACATCAAGTACAGACAGAAAATCAGCAAGTAGAAGAAGGAGAGGGGGAAAAAAAAGAGCAATCCCATGAGTCCTGTGCTGTGCCAACGCTGAAGAATCCTGGTACGATGTGTAGGGTTGCTTCTCATCCAAGGCTGTGCGCCTCCTTCAAGCTCAGTCCAAGAACACTGCCATGAATAAAGAGCTGGATGGAAACGTCCTCCGGGAGCAAACCAGCATGTTGGAGCAGAACGTCACACAGAAGGAGAAGAGGCTCACTTGAAATATCTGAACACGACTGATGATTGGTTTAAATAAATAAAAAACCATGGTGGAGAAACAAACTGGGATCAGCTCCAAACAATGAGGCATCATGGAACGTCACTGCAAAAATAAAATAAATTTTTTTCTGAATTATTTAAAAAAAACATTTTTTTATCAGCTTAGCTTTCAACGACACAAACGTCTTTTCACAACTGTCTAGATGTTTTAGAGCAAAAGTCCTGAGGCTCAGTCTACTGAAAATCATTTTCAATATTTAAAAGTTGATCTGCAGATTGGAGGGAGAATTCATATACATGTCTGAAGTTAAATCACACCAAACAGAATTACCAAAATAATTTGTTGGCTGTAATTCGAGAGCAGATTTGGAATCTGAAAGCAGGATTTTGTGTCCTTTGTTCTCAGTTTTTCACTTTTGCTTGCATTTTCAGTTTGAAAGCTGGAATTAGTGTCCTGCGTAAAACTTGAATTTCTCTGGAAAATTTGAGAGCACAATGAATATTTGAAAGAGCAGAAGTTCTGAGCACAAACAGAAAAACACAAAGTCCCGCTTTCAAAATGAAAATGTAAGCACAACTATTAAAGGTTTTGAGAGCAAAAGACATAAAATCCCACTTTCAGACAGAAAATGTGTGCTCTTGAATTATGGCAGAAAAATTTCCCGAAAGATGAAGAAATGTATGTAAAAAGTTACAAATAAATCTCTGACATTGTCTCTCATTTTTGTGGCAGTTGTTTTAATAAATGTTTTGTAATCCTCACCGATGTAAAACAGGAGGAATTTGGTCCAATTTCACTTCAGTGAAAAAAAGTATTTTTATTTGGTTTATGTAAGCTTCGGCTTTCAACTGTAACTCACTTCTAATCCGAGTTGTAATGAAACCATTTTGTAAATTCTTGTCGATTCTTAAAACGCGCAAATTGAATTTCGGAGCAAAATCTAAAGAGGGAAACATGCTTTTTTTGTTTTTTCTTTTTTATTCAACAGCACAATAAATGAATGTATAGTTTCTTAACAGACATGGTCATATGAGGATGCATGAAACGAGTAATCCGAAGCTCTACGGGTTCTAGACGAGTGAGTATAGGAGAAACCCAAAAACTGCTCTGCTTTAAAACATGCAACGTATGGTTCTTCAGAAAACGTTTTGTGCTTAGAGTTCCACTTCAGGGGCAGGAGAAGACGATGGTACATGAGAACTTGTCTGTCGGTCACTCCGTCCTCACTACTAATGGAGGAAGGCAGCTGGACTTGAGAGGAGACTGGATAAGGTAACACACCGCTGCCCCTCTTTTTTGTTTGTTTGTTTCTTTTCATTTAGCGGTTACATACATGAGTTTGTCTACATTTCAAAAATACAAAAATATATATTACCTCTGTAGTTATTCAAGGAAAGCATTTGCACATGTAATAGCGTCTTGTTACCTTCATTCGGACTGTACCTCACACGAGTAACGAGATCGTTTCTGTACATGAAATTCAAGTAAATGACGTCAGACGAGAAAGGGGGGCAGGAGTTCATGTCTGGGGAGTTCATGTCTGGGGAGTTCATGCGTGAACGACGTGGAGGCGACAGGATGGAGTCGTTTAGAGGGAGAGGGGCTTCGGGATCGCGCTTCGCCGTGATGGGGTTTGGCTTCCTGAGCAGCAGAAAAGGCCAAGAGGACATCATGTTGGAGACGAGGAGCTTCCTAAAAGCGTGGAGACCGACTGATCCACCGGGGGAAAAGGAAATGAAAGGTATGCAAGTAAGACATGGGCTGGTATCAGGTCGCCACGGTAATTAATTGGCTAGAGCACTCAGGCAAAAATGCAGGTTTCCTGAGTAATCCTGGTCATTTTTAAAATCTTTTAAAAATACCTTTTAAGTCATTCAAAGGATTTCAAACCTGCCTTATCTGACTTTTATTAAACATTTTTGATAAAAATGTCTTTATGTCCTGACAAATATGTCAGAAAATAATGTAGAAAAAACTGTGGTCATAGTGTCATCTGCAGAAATAACCAACCAGAGTCAGGAGGAGCATCTTAAGGATGTCAATCACACTCATGGACACGCTGCTCACACCGTTCCCCCTTGCTTGCTGCTACCCTACGGCGAGTTAGCATGGCCACCTGTGACGGTGAATAGTTTTCTGTAGCAGGAAGTTGTTTTTCCACCATTAGCACAGCTAGCCTACATGAGGGAGATCGACAACACCATGGCCCTTCTCCTGGCTCTCATTGGTCGTCTGCATTCCTGCAGTAGGACCACCTGGAGAAGACAGGAGCTTCATTTGTTTCAGATTATCTGTCTCATATTACACTGTTGCGACATAGTGACATGTTTTTAAAACATGTTGCAACTTTAACACTAACATTTCTGTAACCTGTTTTTGGGAGTGGTGCCTAAACTCCACCCATGCCTACTTGAAAGCATCAGAGAATGCCACCTTTCTTTCTAAATCGGCAGATGAAGACACAGAACGAGGCACAATAACGCACTTGGCTTTGGCGAAGAGGACGAGAGAAACAAAAAGGGGCGGGGTTCCAAAGCGTTTCCTCCACAGAGTTGGTTCTGCTGGGAGGAAGCAGGAGTAACTTTAGTGTTCCGGGGAAACGGTTTCGCTTCTTCTACTACCCCCCCAGAGGCGAGCCGTCTGTCCGTCCTTCACCGTCACGGTTCTGAGTATCCTTCGGGAGCTTTTGTTCATTTTTTTAGTGTACAGTACATGTTAGAGCCACAACTTGCATAGTGGAACAGAACATCAAGCTGAAGGAACATTACACACACTTTTACGTTTTCTTCCTCCTATGTTTCAACGCTGGACAAAAAAAGAAAAAGAGACTCTGATTGGAGCTGGGTGATGCTCTGCTTTAGCTCTGCTGAGTGGGTGCGACGGTAATACTGACAGACAAAACAAATACTGCAGAGATCAGTGCTATGTGTACACACAAAACATGGAATAGTAGTGACTGGTTTTTTT